CCCTGTTGAGCTTGACTCTAGTCTGATTTTGTAGAGAGACATCAGAGGTGTAGCATAAGTGGGAGGTCGTTCCGCCTCCGTGTGGCTGATGCTGCACATGTTCTAAGAGGCACACGTTCTCCTTCTCTCTCGGAGAAGAAGCACTCCATCCCACGAAGAGGAAACGAAACCGGGTCGGATATCTTTTAAGTAAGCCCCGCCGGAATTTCGTCTATCACCTCGAAAAGAGTGCTTGGCATGCATTGCAGTGGAACTTAAATTGATGAGTGCGCCTGGGCCCGCAGTCTACCATGTAGTGGCGCAGGCAGAGAGATGACAATTGCTCTCGTCGGGACGAGAATGCTTGGGTGACGCCGTGCTCTTCCTCACGCGCTCCTCCACCCTCTCCCACGGTCAGACGCGGTGTGGGCGTTCTCTTTGAGAGTTCGCCACGAGTCCACGTCTATCTCATGACAGGCCTGGGAGGGAGGCAGGGGGAGTTCTCTCTAAACGCGTTAAAGACGGTGTTGCGCCTCATAACGGCGCTCGCCGGGATAGAGCACTAGTTCTGCAGCCGGAAAGGCCGCTACGCCAATTAATACTGCGACTCTCGCTCTCTTTCTCCGGATAAACAAGTGCCACTGCTGTGGCATGCGGGAACGGGGAAAGAGGTCAAAGTTTAAGCGGCAAAGGTGCGGCCGAGTAAGGGCGGAACACAAGCGTATATGCATTAAAACTGTGTATATGACTCTGCGAGAGATGTTCTGCTGGAACACTTTTCCTATTGGCTATTTACCACTATTGATGTTGCTGAGAGGGCCGAGCACCTAAGCTGCTCGTTGAGAATGAGAAGGAACGGAGTCAGGGGTGGGAGTGCCGGCGCCATGGCCGCTGGTACCCCCGCGACAAGCCCCTCAAACCTTCCTCTCTCTGTCAGAAGAAGAAGAAGGAACGGAGTCAGGGGTGTGAGTGCCGGCGCCATGGCCGCTGGTACCCCCGAGACAAGCCTCCCAAACCTTCCATTATCTCTCTCTGTCTTAAGAAGCAGAAGAATAAGAAGGAACGGAGTTAGGGGTGGGAGTACCGGCGCCATGGCCGCTGGTACCCCCGCGACAAGCCCCTCAAACCTTCCTCGCTCTGTCAGAAGAAGGAACGGAGTCAGGGGTGGGAGTGCCGGCGCCATGGCCGCTGGTAGCCCCGAGACAAGCCTCCCAAACCTTCCTTTATCTCTCTCTGTCTTAAGAAGCAGAAGAATAAGAAAGAACGGAGTTAGGGGTGGGAGTACCGGCGCCATGGCCGCTGGTACCCCCGCGACAAGCCCCTCAAACCTTCCTCTCTCTCTGTCTTAAGAATAAGAAGGAACGGAGTCAGGGGTGGGAGTACCGGCGCCATGGCCGCTGGTACCCCCGCGACAAGCCCCTCAAACCTTCCTCTCTCTCTCAGTCTTAAGAATAAGAAGGAACGAGTCAGGGGGAGTAGCGCCATGGCCGCTTGGTACCCCGCGACAAGCCCCTCAAACCTTCCTCTCTCTCTCAGAAGAAGAAGAAGAAGAAGAAGGAACGGAGTCAGGGTGGGAGTACCGCGCCATGGCCGCTGGTACCTCGCGACAAGCCCTCAAACCTTCCTCTCTCAGTCTTAAGAATGAGAAGGAACGGAGTCAGGGGTGGGAGTGCCGGCGCCATGGCCGCTGGTACCCCCGCGACAAGCCCCTCAAACCTTCCTGCCTGGTAATGTCGGTGGTGAAGAAAGTCGGTGGCAGAGCGTCTTCCGCTTCGTGGTTGGGGAACTTGTTCCCCCTAAGGATGATGAGACCACGATCGACCTCGTAGTAGGAGAGAGCTACCCGCCAAATTTAAGCATATTAATAAGCGGAGGAAAAGAAACCAACAGGGATTCCCTTAGTAAGGGCGACTGAACCGGGAAAAGCCCAGCGCATACCCTCGATGTCTTCGGGCACGAGGGGTGTTGCGTTTCAGAGGGTCCAGCACGCCGTCCCATACCGCCTAAGTCAAGCTTGAAAGCGGCCACTGCCCATGGAGGGTGACAGGCCCGTATGGCGGCGCCCGTGAGGGTACAGATGGGACGGTCGGAAAGGGCCTCTCTGTAGAGTCGGGTTGCTTGAAAGTGCAGCCCAAAGCAGGTGGTAAACTCCATCTAAGGCTAAATATGACCACGAAGACCGATAGCGAACAAGTACCGTGAGGGAAAGTTGAAAAGAACTTTGAAGAGAGAGTTCAAGAGCACGTGAAACCGTTAAGAGCCAAACGGGTGGAAACTCGAAGGTCGAACTGAGGGATTCAGCTCGTCGGCTGTCGGCTGGGTGGGTGTTGTAATTGAGCGACCCAAAATGTTTGGCGCCCCACTCACGCTGGCGTCGGCGGGCGTATTTCGCCTCGTAGTAGGTCACCGCCCCGCTGCCGGGACGTGAAGGCCGGTCGGACTGGTACTCGCCGCCGACTCTCTCAGCTCGTGGGGGAGACCCGCGCGACGGGGAACCACCGGTGTCCTGGCTGCCCTGGCACGGTCGTCGAAGAGCTTGCGCCGCTTCGGCGGCGGTTTTGCTCGCTGTGCAAAAGGTCGGTGATCCACCGACCGTCGAAACACGGACCAAGGAGTCTAACATGTGCAAGTCAATGGGCTCACTAAACCCAAAGGCGAAATGAAAGTGACGGGCGCCCGGGGCAGCTGTAACAGGCTCTCCGGTGCGTCTTTGGCCGATCCTGACCGGCTGCCTGCGGCTCGCCCACGCCGCGACAAGCGGGTGAGATACTTTCCGCCTCTGGACGTTGCGTGGTGGAGGTCGTCAGGGCGATGGTCGAAGTTTAATTTCCTCATGGGAGGGGGCGCAGGCCCGGACTTGCAAGACGCCGGTGCTGTCCGTCCCGGAAGCGGGCCGTCGGTAAACGGCGGAGGCGCACCGGGCAGGCTCGGCAGTCGGCAAGTACCATGAGCATATATGTTGGGACCCGAAAGATGGTGAACTATGCCTGGCCAGGATGAAGCCAGAGGAAACTCTGGTGGAGGTCCGTAGCGATTCTGACGTGCAAATCGATCGTCGGAGCTGGGTATAGGGGCTAAAGACTAATCGAATCATCTAGTAGCTGGTTCCCTCCGAAGTTTCCCTCAGGATAGCTGGAACTCGCAGGGTGAATTTCATCCGGTAAAGCGAATGATTAGAGGTCTTGGGGACGAAACGTCCTCAACCTATTCTCAAACTTTAAATGGGTGAGATGCCGAGCTTGCTTGTAGGGATGAAGCTCCGGCGACTAATCTGAGTATCTAGTGGGCCACTTTTGGTAAGCAGAACTGGCGATAAACGTCGAGAAGGCACCAATGCTTATTAGACCAAAAGGCGTTGGTTGCTATAGACAGCAGGACGGTGGCGGCGGAATTGCTAGGAGTGTAAAAACCACCTGACGGGAAACAACCAGCCTATGGCGGAAGCCACATCCTCTCGACATTGACCGTCAAGACTACCGGCCTCCTCAAGGGGCTCAGGGTCTTCGCAGCAGGAGGTCGCAGGTGAGCGCTGAGCGAGCCGGTTCGCGCCTGGAGCCGCCACTGGTGCAGACGGTAGTAGCAACATCAGAGACTTTGACGAAGCGGAGAAGGTTCCATGGAACATCAGTTGGCATGGCGTTGGTCGCTCAAGCCAGGCTCAAGCTCGATCCACGCTCGAGGCAACACGAGCAGAGGAGAAGAAGAAAACTAGCAGGGTTCTATCTGCTCTCGGCTCCGGCAACACAGTTCAACAAAGCGAAAGCGCCAAAGGATGAGGCGAAGGAAGCTGACGGTACTTTATTCCGTAACCAGCCTGAACCCTAGCGGTGTGTGGCGCCTTTGGGAATGCTATGACATTCGCGAAGGTTCTGGCAATCGAAACCAGCTCGCTACCACCGGCGGTCCGGAAAGTTTTTCGTTTACATGCTGAGGTTTCAGAAATCTCATTCAGAGAGAGGGCGTAGAAAAGACGGTTAGCCGTGAGAGCGCCAAACCGGGTCTCAAAGCGCCACCACCGTCCGGAAAATGGAGAGGTGGTTATCCCAGGCAGCATTGTCGAACTGCTTCGGCGGCAGCCTGCTGGCCTGGGGCGACACCGCACCCAACAAGCAGCCTGTCGATAGACTGTAGGGGGAAGTCGGCAAATTAGATCCGTAACCCGGATAAGAATTGCCTGAGGATCAAATACCGGCCTGTGCGGAAGCGGCCTGGTTCGTGCAGGACTGGGCGAGGGGACGGGAAAATTGTCGGGTTCGTCCGGGCGAGGATGATGATCGCCAGGCGGCGCCTCTTCGAGGCGGGCACGCGGTTGTAGCTTTCTTAACCGAGCCGACTCGCGATTCGCCCTTCCGTGGAACGCGCTAGGCTGCGTGGGCGTGTTCTCGGGCGGTGTTCGCCGTCCCTCCAAAGCTCTTGTAGTAAGAGGTGCGGGGAGGAGGCGGGGCCGTTCGGTTCACTACAATCCCACTTCGGCTGGCGCCCAGCGAGCAAGTCAGAACTGGCACGGACCAGAGGAATCCGACTGTCTAATTAAAACAAAGCATTGCTATGGTCTTTGATGGATGTTGACGCAATGTGATTTCTGCCCAGTGCTCTGAATGTCAAAGTGAAAAAATTCAACCAAGCGCGGGTAAAGGGGTAGGTATGGTGTGAAGCTCAGGGTCGTGACCGAGGAATGCTTTACAATGCTGAACTCGACCACGGGTCTGGCCGAATACCTACCAAGAATTGAACCTGATGAGTACGTGAGGTACTTAGGGCTTGAGAGACCGGGGAGTAGGGTCGATGGCGAAAAGCAAAAACTCCAGAACATCATGGAGAAAATAGGAGGTTCTTCGCTGAAACCCTTGCAAAAGATCAAGATACTGAAGTCTCAGATTATCCCGAGGCTTCAGTATAGGTACGTGAAGGGATCCTGTTCTATGAACCTTCTCAGGGCACTAGACAGGACCCTTCGCGACCGGACCAGGCAATGACTCCACCTACCTCGGACGCTCAATACAGCGGCCATTGGCCTACCCATGAGAGACGGGGGCGTGGGAGTGCCCTCGCTACTGGAGACCGTTGCCCAGCAGAAGATGGGACTGCTCCGGCGTCTCGAGGCCTCAGACGAGCCTGCAGTCAGGTTTATAGCCTCTGGGGGTCTCTGGGGTCGCGAAGTCGGGGCAATGGCGAGGCACTTCCGGGTAGGCCATATAGACAACAACACCTTGTCTCAATTGAAAAGGTCGCTGTTGCGGAAGAAGAGGGAAGAGTGGAGTACATCCTGGCATGGCAAGGGGGCGGAGAACTTCTTTGGAAGCCGGGCCAGCAATGCCATCTTGCGAAATGATCTAGGCCCAGGCAGGAAAGCCATCGACCTATTGCGACTCAGGTCTCAGACCATCAACTGCCGAGTCTCTAGAGCCATTGGCCGGGTGCCTAATGAGGACTTGGGAAGAATGACCTGTCGCCAATGTGGGCAAGGACAGGAGGATATACTACATCTCTTACAGAGGTGTCCTGCTGCCCAAAACCACAGGGTGACAAGACATGACAGTATCCTCCTTTAGCTAAAACAGTGGCTACAGGGAGAAGGCTTCCATGTACTCTTAGAGCCGCGGGTACAAAGTGGTCACACGTTCGTGAAGCCTGATCTGATCCTGCAGAAAAATGGCCAGTACTCGGTGCTCGACGTCTGTGTGCCCTTCGAAAGCGATATTAACACCCTTCGCTTAGCTGAGCAGCACAAGATCGATAAGTACCGTGCACACGAGGTCGACATCGGGAGGTTCATTGCTAACAACAGCTCGCTGCCTCCGGTAGCTGCAGTGAACTTCCTGGGTGTTGCCTTCGGCGCACGAGGTGGCATAAGACCAGCCACTATCAAGCTGCTCAGCCGGTTGGGCATCAGACGCGCGGGCATCGAGATACTTGTCACAATGGCCATTGAGGGATCTATAAACATCCTTAGATCCCTCAGACTGCAGCATGGATTTGCCAGGGATAAACAAATTCACAGCCCGGGAATGCTGCTCGTTCACACTGCAAGGTGGTGCCTGATCCTCATGAGCCAACCAACGGTGCTACATGTTCCTGGACATGACGTTGAGCCTGGCCTACAAGTGGAAGGCCTATTCTTGGGAAAACTCTGACAAGAGGTTTAACCCGGCTCCATTTTTTTAAAATTTAGTTAGTTTTCAGTCCTCCCATGTTTGAGATGACTATCGTCTGACTTGCAACAGACACGGACAGCAGCCTCATCACCATGAGCTCCAAAGTGTGTCACCACGAAAGAACCGGCAGCAGGCCATACACAAACAAGTCTTAAAATATCTTTATGGGTATTAGCGTTTATTCACATCTGACATCCGCATCAACATCCAAGACCAGAGGAGTCTCACCAGATGGATATTGTGAAGGAAGAAATGCTGGTGAGAGGGTTGCAGAAACCAAGATATTGCTTTAAATCACAGCA